CTTCTTATCATTTTCAATATATAATATTAAAATTCGCGTAAAAAAACATCTTCTTCCATTTTAAGAAATCTTTTCTTTTTACTAAAAAATGACTGGATATAATAGTTTTTATATACATGTTACAATCAAATATATTTAAAGGTAAAATGAAATACATGCGCTTTTATCGTTGCTTGATTAAATGTGTGAATAATAATAATTTTAGGGTACCAAATTTGCTCAAAATTCGAGACAAATCAAATCTGATAACAGCAAGATTAAAAAAAAATTCAACTTGAATATTTAGCAACATCAAATGAAAGATTATCAAAAATTAATTTTTCTGTTGCATTTAACAGTTAAGACTTAGCACGTAACAATAATTTGCAGATATCTTACTGATATCAGAGTACCCATTTGATTTGTCTCGAATTTTTTAATTAATCACACATTTTATATTATATCATGCATTCCTAATATATTATTAAGAATAATATTAAAAAATAGTTTTTCAAATATGTCACAATTTACGCACATGTATTTTATTATATGTACACTCTTATCTAAAATAAACTAATTATAATATACATAAAATAGTGGAGCATCCAGTAATTCCTGCAAGTGGTTTCTTAAAAGAGACCAAAAATAAAATTAATTCAAAATTAATTAATAAAATATACTTGTTTGTAACCATAATTTTTCAAATAATAAAAATTTTGCACAAAAAAGTTTGCGCAAAAACTTATTAAATTAAATTTATATTTGAAAAAGTGAATTTTATCTATTATATCCATTTTTGAATTATTATTTTCATTATTAAAATAATAGTGATATTAATAGGAGGATAATTAATGGAAGAACATTTTTAACAAAAAGAGAAAATATATCTTCTCTCAAAGTATAATGAATTTTGTAATTCGATTTCAAACAATGTACGGTGTGTCGTTAAATCACTGCCAAAACATTGTTTCTAGAAACCGCCACGAAAACCTGGGTTTAATTCCTACTCTGTAATGAAACTTTCAATTTTCAATGAGGCGCCGAACTAAGCGTTGCGGATAGATCTCACAAAAACCGGCAAGAAATAACTTTCCGCAATGAAAATCGTTTCGATTCTCCACCAGTACAAACCGCGCATTTGCTAGCGTCCACCTGACATGAGGGACAGCGATAAGGCTTCGTCGTCGAGACAGCGATCACATCCAAAAACGTGAAAAGAACGCAATTGTTTGCAATATAATTTATTATAAAATCGTAAATCAATAAATCGTAATCTATAAATATTTAACGGGATGCGAAATTCTCGAAATACATTAAATTAAAAACGATAATCAAAGAAAATTATTTTGTTTTACAGATTTTAATTTCCGCATGATTGATAATGTTTAATATTTCGCAATATTTTATTTTCGAATATACTTGTGTTTTCTATAATATTAAAAGAACGACAAATTTTACGTAAAAAGCTAATATCTAATTATTGGGTTAACATCGTGTTTTTCTTGATTCACTTTTATTTAATAACCTTTATATTATGTAAAAAAAAATTTTTTACGGTATTTGCGCGATTACGAAAGTTTCTCGAATTTATTAATAATCTTTTAGTATAAAAAATAAGCTATCCAAATATTTGAATAATTTTGCAATAAAAATATTCAAATAAAATATATCAAATGTGTTAATTAAACAAATTTTGTTATTGTACGTATTCACCTAATTTCGTGTAATGTACAATAGATTTCTTTTACATTATTACAATTAGATTATAATTTCTATACAATTGCAAAGAAAATTATGAAAAATAAAAAATAATATAATTACAATTTATAGATATATTATAATGTTAATTACAATATAATAATTAATGCTATTAGTATCAATATTTTCAACATAAGAAAATTGCAAAATTTTTATTATTTAAAATGATTATTCAATGATAATCAATGTATATGATTTCAAATAAGTTAGAAAAAAAATTATTTAAATTGAATTACTTTTGTCTCTCAATATTTTATCAAATAAATATTATCATATTAGATACTAATAACATTCATCTTTGAATTTAAAATTATAATTTTTAAAAAAATACAATTTTTAGTAGTGATAAAATAAAATATTAATACAATTTACAAAAAATAAAATATTAAATTTAGTACATGTTATACGTATAATAAAATGCAACTTAAATGTACATTATGTATTTAAGTTACATTTTTTACATTTTCCATACATTAATTTTTTTATTTTTATTTATAGTTTTTTTTATAATTAATTTCAATTCTTTATATATAATTTATTTAATTTTATATGAAATAAATTATATATATATTTAATTTTTATATGCCCTAATAGCCCTAACAATCTTAACAATCTTAACAGACCTAATAGTCCTAACAAGCCTAATACAGACCCCTAAAAATAACATATTTTCATGTTTTTTTTTCTTGAAAATAAATTTAATTTTTATATGCTTTAATAGCCCTAACAAACCTAATAGGCTTAACAAACCTAACAGTCCTAACAGCCCTAACAGCCCTAACAGACCTAACAAAGACCTAACAGCCCTAGCCACCTTACTTGCTGGCTTACGCCAGCAGAAATTCACGCTCAAGTGAAATTTGGGGAACCCTAATTAGTAATCCGCGATAATGAAAAATTTAGGAAGCCCTAACCGGAAATTCGCGATAAAAGGAAGCCTTAGCGGCGCAACACATCTTTTGGCCAATATTGCCAATATTGATGTATTTTCCAAGCCAGTTATCTCTGCTTCTGGCTATATTCATTTTGACGACTATTTGTTTACGATCGTACGATATTATGATCGTATTTTAACGTGCGTCATTTAGTCGTCAGAAATCGCAAAATAAATTATCATGCATAAAATATAATTAGCATGCATTTTAACTCTCGGTCGGCGGATTGCTTATAAATATTTTTATTTTTTAGATTTAGATTAAATATTTAGAAATTAAAAATCTATTTTTAAAATCGTTTTGTAAAAGTCTGTGTGTCCATATATATATATAATGGAAATAAATATTTCATGTATGTCTATATCTATTGTTATTTTACAAATATTTTTTCTTTTACTTTAATTTTTACACGTTTTGTCCCGCCAATCAAGAGTTAGAAGCAACGGATTTCTTCATGCATTTACAAATCCTTTGCTTCAAAATAAAAAGTTGTCACTTACCGGCACTGATGCGCAACAGCGGAATTGATATTGAAGCTATGTTGTCTGTAACATACAAATATAAAATGCAAATTATATCAATGTTCAAAATAATTAATATGTTAAGAAATTATTATTGGACTCATTGAATTTTATATCCGATGTACGCAATTATAAATAGATGTATAAATATGAAATAATTTTATAAGTAATTAATTTTTTTTAAGTAGAAACTTTTATAGAAAGAATTATTATAAAAATTTGTCCAATTTTTTCATGTTTAAATCATTTATATAAATCAAATTAATTAATTAATTAATTTATATAAAATTAATATAAATAATAATACACACCATCAGGTTGTTCCGCTGGTGCAAGATGCCTTTCCTAGGCCTGCTCCTCCTCTCAGATCATCTGGGTTGGTTACATCTATAACATACACATAGAAAATCCAAATTATAATAACGTCCAAAATAATTAATATTTCAAAGAATTATTATTGTATGTATTGTGTATCTTATATTCAATCCATATAATAATAAGTAGATTCATAAAATAATTCTATAAATTAAAGAAAAACATTATTAATAATTCTTTAATAATTTTATAAAAGCTTATATCTTTACAAGAGATTATAGCTTTTATTTAAAAATCTTTTTCTCTCTTATTTAAATCATATAAATAAACAAATCAAATTAATTGTTGCGATTAATTGTTTGATTTAAATTATAATAAATATATTTAATATTTAATATTTAATATATAATTACAAATAAATAAATTGCTTACCAGAAGGTTGCTCTGCCGGAGCCTGATGCCTCTCCTAGGCCTCCTCCTCCTCTCAGTTAGACGCGCGATATTTAACGGCACTCCCGCACTCACGAGCGATATTTTTATATCGCTATTTTCGCACTTTTACGCGCGATACTGAACGGCACTCCCGCACTATTCGATACGATTAAAAATTTTCTGTTTTGTCGCGCGATGTATATATTTAATATATATATACTTTTAACGGCACTCCCGGTTTCGGTACGAGCGAAAATCCCGTTTCACTTGTGAAAGTGGGATTGCGAGAAAGTCCAACGCGAAAACGCGATAACGCGATGACGCGAAAAAGCTAAACGCGAAAACGCGGTAACGAGACGCCGCCGTCCGCGACACGTTGACAGCACCGATGACGAAAAGAAATATATATATATATATATATATATATATATATTTTTTTTTCTTTTTTAATAATATTTATGTTTTTTTTCTCTGAAAATAAATTTTAATTTTTATATTCCCTAATAGCCCTAACAAACCTAACAGCCCTAACATCCCTAACAGTTCTAGCAGTCCTAACAGCCCTAGTCGCCTTACTTGCTGGCTTACACCAGCAAAAATTCGCGATAAGGTGCAATTTGGGGAGCCCTAATCGGAAATTCGCGATAAAATTTAAAGAGCCTTAACCGCGCAACACATCTTTTGGCCAATATTGACCATGTATTTTTCAGGCCAGTTATCTCCACTTCTGGCCATTCATTCTGACGACTAATTTGTTTCACAAACGATCATGCGATATTATGATCGTTTCTTTAACGCACGTTATTCAATCGTCAAAAATTGCAAGTTATAAATTATCATGCATAAAAGATAAAAAGCATGCATTTTAACTCTCGGTTAGCAGATTGGTTAGAAATATCTCTATTTTATAAATTAAATATTTATCGATTAAAAACCTATATTTTTATAAAATTGTTTTTTATAGAGACCGATATATAATAGAATTTTTAGAATATTTCATGTATGTCCATCATACAATTGCAACAAAAATATCATCTATCTTTATTAAAAATATTTTTCCTTTACTTTTTCACTTTAATTTTTACTCGCGTATTGTCCTGCCAACGGAGAGTTAGAAGCAATGGATTTCTTCATGCATTTATAAATCCTTTGCTTCAAAATAAAAGGTTGTCACTTACCGGCACTGATGCGCAACAGCGGAATTGATATTGAAGCTACGTTGTCTGTAACATACAAATATAAAATGCAAATTACATCAATGTTTAAAATAATTAATATTTTAAGAAATTTATTATTGGATTCATTGAATTTTATGTCCGATGTGCGCAATTATAAATAGATATATAAATATAAAATAATTTTATAATTAATTAATTTTTTCAAGTAGAACCTTTAGAAAGAATTATATAGAAAGAAATATTACAAAAATTTTCCTAATTTTTTCTTGTTTAAATCATTCACATAAATCAAATTAATAAATTAATTCATTCATTTATATACAATTAATATAAATAATAATATTCACCATCAGGTTGTTCCGCTGGTGCAGGATGCCTCTCCTAGGCCTGCTCCTCCTCTCAGATCATCTGGGTTGTTGCGTCGATCTATAACATACAAATAGAAGATCTAAATTGTAATCATATTCAAAATAATTAATATTTTAAAAATTATTGTATGCATTGAATTTTATATCCGACGCGATATAATAATAGCAGATTAATAAAATAAAATATTACTAATAATTCTTGAATAACTTTATAAAACCTTTACAAGATAATAAATTTTATATAAAAATCTTTTTCTTTAAACTTCGTATTTAAATTATATGAATAAAAAAATCAAATTACGATTAATTGCTTAATTTAAATTATAATAAATATATTCAATATTTAATTTATATATATATATATATATATATATATATAATTGCAAATAAATAAACTATTTACCAGACGGTTGCTCTGCCGAAGCTCGATGCCTCTCCTAGGCCTCCTCCTTCTCTCAGTCTTAATCGCGCGATACTTTTAGCGGCACTCCCGCACTCACGTGCGATATTTTTATATCGCTATTTTCGCACTTTTACGCGCGATACTGAACGGCACTCCCGCACTATTCGATACGATTACAAATTTTCTGTTTTGTCGCGCGATGTATATATTTAATATATATATACTTTTAACGGCACTCCCGGTTTCGGTACGAGCGAAAATCCCATTTCACTTATGAGAATCCACTTCAGGTCAATAGGTCGGGAATGCAACGATACAACGTGCAAGAATTAAGCCCAAACCGGAAAGAAGACGAAACGATTGACAGAAATAGAAGAAAATGAAGTTCACCAACTCTTTTTCGCGCATAATTATCCTATCTCATATCGAACCTGGACCCGCTAAGCATGATTTCAGGTGCTTCGCCCGGAACACGAAGTTTCCCGCAATGCAGGATATGGCTACACCAGGCTGGTAGACGGCAAAAGAAGAGGCTACCCACATTTTTTAAATGCTTACAACTAGCAATTTAGAAAATGGGGAGGCAACCCCTTTTACCGAGCGAAAATCATGCCTAGGGGAATCCACTCGACTCCTCGACAGGGTTAACACACGCAGTGCGTGTGGCTGTAGACGAGCAAAGAGAAGGGACCCATTGAAGACCATTCCGAGCAATCGATCGAGTTCTAACTAATTCAGGCCGAATTACTTGACGAAGCACGAAGCAAGAGTGTACGTCGCAGAGCAACGTGTGCAAACTCGTACATCCCAGTTAATTGGCATCGGAAGTGGAGACTCGTGACAATAAATGAAATTGGGATTTTTTATGAAAAAGTCCAAAAGTTCCGCGAAAACGCGACGACACGAGAATATTACAACGCGAAAACGCGACGCGTTGACGAAGCGCTTGCCGTCCGCGACACGTTGACGGCACCGACGATGCGAAAGGGTACTTAGCTTCCCATTCAGGCACCTTGAGATTTATCCCAAATAAAAAAATTTAAAATAAATCTCAAGGCACCATCCAAGTACTGAGCCACCCCACCACGTCAAGGTGTACCCGTGGGGGGGTTGTATTATATAAATTTATGACATAATATAATTTGTGAAAGAGAGAGAAAATTATATTATATATAATTTTATATAATTTATGTGTGGAATTCATTATATATCAGTCAATGATGTAATCTGACTCATTATAGCGCTTCTGATTTTTACGTCATGTACGAAATAAGTATGTAAGCATTTAGTTAAAATAAAAATTTTTTTTTCTCATTGTAATGTCTACTTATATGAATATTATTGAATAAAAGATTAGGTACACAACGATCATTTTCTTTAATAAAGAAAAATTGGAATCTAATTCACAGAGATGTTAGAATAATAAATGACAATGAGAAAATTATAATAATTATATTATATATAATATTATATTGTATATATTATATATAATAATTATTATCACAATTGCTGCTCCTTAGATTTGCAACAGCGTTCATATTAATATATAACTGCTTAATTCTTTTTCTTATTATTTATTTCCGTTCTTATATGTGAAATGTCGACCGAAAGATAAAAGCAATCTGGATAGCTGTCTAATTGTATATATAAAACATAATATCTTAAACTGAATCAATGAAAATTTTTATTAATTAAAATGTAATACAGCGTATTTCTCATTTAAATAAGCATTGTCTTTTTATAACATTTTTTGCGAATTATTTATATAGAACAATAAATGTGTTTTTAAAATCTGCAAATAATTTTTTAGAAGATATAGTTAAAATGTTTTAAATATATTTTTTTCTAAATGCAAATCGAAATTATCAATGAATTAATGTACGTTAATTACAACAATATTTTATAGCTGAAAAACAAAAGAATATATGTATATCTAAACATTTATACAGATGACATTGATTGCTTTAATTGTAATATATGAATAATATATAAAGTACACCTTTAATAAATCGAATTTAAAAAGAAAATGCTCAAAACTACACCGTATAAACGAGTGTATAAGTAACTGAAATATATGAAATACATTTGGGCGAGTACATTTGTGTGTAACTAAATTGAGACATAAATCTTGTACGCGATAAAAAAGTGATGACAGGCGGACATGAAAATCGGTATTATTTTGGCTTAGTTTTTATCTTCATATCGAGTTTTTATGTTCATATCGAGTTACAATAGATAAGGCCGAGTCGAGGCTCGCTCGAGCTTGCCCTTTAAAAGCAATTAGAGAAAAGGATGCAACGAGGGTGCGACAAGAATGCGAGAAGAAACACGAATAAGACGTGAGATACGACGCGAGTGACAAAATCCGGGTTTTCTATTGGATTTAAGGATCGAGGAACTATGCTTATTGGCTATCGATTGAGTCCGCGTGGAGTATTTAGGTCAGGAAAAATTCGGGATGCTACATATATGCAACATCTGACGCGAATATTAATCATTACACAAACACAAATTAAATGCAAATACATTCAATTTTAATATTTTTATAAATCTATTTTCTAATAAAATTAAGTATCTAAATTAATTGATTATAAAATTAATTATTATGCGCAATCAATTTTTTTGCCTTTCAAACAGATATTTAATATTGTAAATTATAATTATCAAGCATCTTGAATATAAACTTTTAATAAAAATTCAGTCTATTTAAAAATATCCAATTCTTATATATAAAGTATATAATAATTACATTATTGTGAAATATTTTATAAAATATTGAACTATCTTGAAATATCAATTAACACGAAAAATATTTTATTATATTATTTGGAATATTTTAAAATAAAAACTGAAATATTTTTTATATATGCTAAATGATAATTAAGAATAAATTCGAAAAGGTGAAATAGGAACAGGCAATATGTCTAAAAGTAACATGAATGATAAATAATTTATAAATGACTTACATTTTATATTTCGTTGCTCCGTATGTGTTGTTCGATGTTTTTCTCTCTTTTCTCCTTTTTTCGTTCTTTGCTATTTCTTGGTAGCACTCACATTCACTTCCGAAAATAGGAATAATAATAATTAATTATATATGGAACGATCGCGAGACACTTTGCACGACACTCCCGATCGCGGAATAATTACATGAGAAATGCACTTTTTAACATAATATCGTAAGAAACAGAAGATACGAGAGAAGTACTATTTTCATTCGATATTTATATAAAGTTTCAAATTCATGCTCTACTCATTACAAATGCTCCGTTTTATTAATATTATATTAACATGAATTATAAAATCGAAAGATTAATCTAATTGAAAATCATGATAATCGTCCAATTAATAATAAATTCGATAATATATGAAGAGTATCGTTTCGCACTGTTATCTTGCTCGAGTGTCGCCGTATGAATGATACCAAGACCGCGGAATGTAAACATTACCGCGCTATTGTATACGCCGTCAGGGCTAAACATTGTATTATTGTCTGTTCGAAATATTTTACGTACTTTGACAAATATATACGCGAAATTATAAAATCGAAAGATTAATCTAATTAAAAATCATGATAATTGTTCAATTAATAATAAATTCGATAATATACGAAGAGTATCGTTTCGCTATCTTGCTCGAGTGTCGCCGAACGCGATCTTACCTTCGAACAAGAGTTAAGTCCGAAACGGAAGAAAACTATCGATTGATGGAATCAACGCGAATGAAGTTCACTCGACTCTGGTCCGCGCATAATATCCTACGTCTCGCGCTATTACATTTTTGATCGAGAGTCGCCGTGCGAATGATAATAGAATCGAGAGCCGAGATACAGTAGCGCGTTTTTGTTTACGTCGCCAAGGTTGAACACATTGTATTATTAATAATTCGTAGTCATGAAATATTTTACGTGCTATGATTGTATTTTATATTGTATATTATATTATATTTTATATCGATTATATTATTAATGCAAATTAATTATTCATTAATCACATATTATATAAATTTAATGAAGCTTCGATACCTGAATGTACTCCTTTTCTGTTGTTCTTTCAGGGCAGTGATAAAATACTCACTCGCGAAAACGTTATTTAATTATGTTCGGACATGTACTAATCAACAATCAATCAGAATATGACAATCGCACGATGCTTTGAATGACACTCTCGACAAACATGAGACTGATACTTTATTCTATTATAACTTTATTGTAGTAAAAAAATATAAGTTGCACGAGATACTTAGTTAGTGAGAAATCAAATATTAATTATTTATAACAATGTCTCATAATAATCATTTATAATAACCGTAAGAAATGATGGAAAGAATGCGATATATGCGAAGCGACTTTTGCCGCATCTCCTCCGAATTGTATCGTGCGAATGACAACAAAAATGTTCCCATATAAAATTGTGTTACAAAGAACGAAGGCCAAACCGTGTGTGAAGGCCGAACAGTTAATTTATTTGTTATCAATGAATATTTAATATAAAATAAAGAGTATCGACAAGTGCCCATAAGCTTGTTACCCAAAATTTTCTCAACTAGAGATTGGACTTTATTCTTGGCTTAAAGTTTATGATACTTCGGAGAAAATAATTGAGAAAATAAGTATTTTTTTAAAAGGATAAAAATTAAAATTAAACGATAATTTAGTCCATCTAGAGATTCGCATATCCGTAATCTATTTGTCATAAACTTTATTTTAAAAATAAGCTGTCTCGAGTTGGCAAAATTTGGCATTTCTTTGAATTTCTAGAATTATTAATAAACGATATTGATGACGACATTTCAATACTTATAAATTATTTGATTTCACGATTCACATTTCATCTATGCGGATCGTTTTTATTCGAAAATGTTCGATAAACTTGATTTAAATCGATGATAAATTTAAATCGCGAGATATAATCGAATTCAAGTATCGTTAAAAAAATTACCAGCTATAAAGATCGCACAAAGAGAAGATAATTTATAATTCCTATTATTTATCTCTTAAAATCTTGTTGAAATATATATTTTTATGTAAAATCACGCACTTCGTTCTTCGCGTTTTATTCAAGTCGAAGTAACCGTGAGGAATGATTGAAAAATAATGCGAGATACGGAGCGGCTCTGTTTCCCCTCCTCGAGTCTCATCACGCGAAGGACACAAAG